GGCAGAGTATTTTCCTGTTCTTAGAATAAATATTAGGGAAGGTAGCTCTTTCCTAAAAAATCGATTTTTGCTAGTTTTATGCTTGTGAATTTTGAATTCTAAATTTTTGTTAAATATTCGAAACGCATAATTTCTTGATGAAGGAGAGACCACTGACGCTGGGCAATTAAATAGTAAAACGCGACTCGCGTATAAAGCTGATTGCTCTGAAAAATTCAATTCGATCGATCATTGATGTGTCTCTCACAGCTGGATAGAGAGGGAGGATGCGTTGGCGCGCATTTGGCTAAGTTTAGCGGCAGTTTCAGATGGCTGGCACTGTTTCCCCGACGATGTGTTATCGATGTGTTAACGGTGTTACATGTTGCGAACTTGCGGTTCGTTCAACCCTCACGATCGTCGCGTCGGTTGTGCGAGTATAGCTTGCAGTCTATTAACGATTCAACGCAATGAACGATTATCACGTCAAGTGCGCGAACGTGTTAGTCGTTTGGTTTGGATCGTGAAATATGAATTTCTCGGCGGAATCGTTTATTGACATCCCAATGATCCCTCATTTTTTCGAGAAATTTCATTTTTTATTTTGCAAATATTTAACAAGACTGTTCTCTGCTTTTAAATCGCATACTGTTATTCGAGCTTTTTTGCCACAAAAATGCAAAATCGAAAAGACTCTTGTAAAACATAATTAACTGAAAATGTTAACGAAGTTAACGAATTTGGTTTTGGGGTTTTCTGAAATTATTATGAGAAATGATTAAAATGAAAGTTGTGAAGCTCGTGCGGTGTTGATACGTAACGTCGAGATACGATTTTGTACAGCCGCGTGCTTTTTGGAATTGCACATTCATACGTGCTAATTTATAGTTGGACGAAGTATTTAGAGACACACGAGTCCTCTGTTTGCTTAATGCCAGTATGCTACCGTTTACACTGACTGCTTTGAAAGAAAACGAGCGGATGTGCATACGTAAACAGAGCCGTTTGTAGACCAAATTAGGCCTTGACAAATATTTTTTGTTCAGTTTGATATAAAGTACACTTTGTCAAGGTGTAGTGACAATATCTTACGTTGATTTTGAAAAAGAAATATTCCGATTTTAGCTCATAGATAAACCGGATTTATATTAACTTTTTAATACTACTTTAGTATTCGTTATATAAAGCTTATAAAAGTACAAATAAAAATATTTAATTTCTGTAAAATTATAAATATTTCTTAGGATTTATTATTTCAACAATAGTGTTCACAAGTGTTACGACTTCAAAGATATATTCAATTTAATATTAAATATTTTGAATGCACAAGAGTTATTAATTTATCTTCGGAGATCATTTCATGTAAATCCTATCATTTTGTGCGCGTAGGAATAATAATCAATCAGAGTTAATAATTAACTGAAATCGCTAATATATCCTAACTGATTAATATTCCATTCTCTTGTCACTCATCGTTCATTCAATTATTCGTATCTCAGTTTCGTTAACGATTACGTAAGACTTCGTCGAAATAATTATTCATGTTAAATTCTGACACGTTGTCTTCTGTATGTTCCCGATTGTCGCAAAGACAGGAAATCGTTATACGCGATTCCGTCCTCGGTGCCGCGCGCGATAAGACCCTTTGACAGAAGATGAACAGCATTCGGAGGAGAAAGAAACCGCCGGGTCGTAAGCAAGAACTCGCTGCACCATATTCGGCAGCGTTACATTTTTGCAGGGCTGGATGATGGTATTTCACCGCCCTGTGAACAAAATCGTAATTTCGTTCATAAATATTTGAACGTCATAAGTCATTAATGATCGCGGTGCAATTTCAAATGCATTTTCGTTGTTCGCGCTTTGACGCGACCATTTAATATGAGGTTTAAATTGACTCGTTATTAATAAATCGATTGGTGTAACTTTGTTTTTGAAAAAATGAATAGAATAAGATAAGCAACATTACTCTTTTATCGTTTTTTCCGACAAAGATCATGTTAATATCTCTATCTTAACGATATAGTATCTAACCTTTCAATGGCCCTAAAGCTATTGCGAGGTAAAAGCTTGAATATGCCGAGAAGACAGAGAAAGAGAAGGAGAGAGTGGGAGAGAAAGAAAGAAAGATTATCTTAAGATAGTACTAATGCTTGGACACTAATAACACTGATATCTAACTCTGGACATTGTTATTGTTTTGATCTTTAAGGGTTCTGAATAGTTTGTAGACACGAATTAAAGAAGTTTCTCCGAAATATTTGTACACAAAAATTATAAGACGCACATTTTTTAACTTTTCAATATATTTTATAACTTTTCTGTAAAAAAAATAAAAGAAAACTTTTTTAACTTAAGTCTATTACCTAAAACCTTTAAATACGAATATTTAAATTTTTAATATAGTAAATAAGAAGATATATATATATATATATATATATTTTTTTTTTTAATATATACATGTATTTTACATTGAAAGTTTAAATACTCGTATTTAAAAACTAAAACAAGAAGAATATCCAGAGTTAAATACCAATATTATATAATATTATTTGCGTCCAGATGTTGATAATTTACCTTATGCACGTCAATCTTACGACTTACTTCACGTTAAGTACGTGATTGCCATTTGCGATTTCTTTCCGCCTGCGTACTCCTCACGTAGCTGCGTTTCCTGAACGATAAGTATCATGTCCCATTCATCCATCCGTCGGTCTAACAACGTCTGTCGGTTAGTGTGTTCTCCTCAAGACTCGAGTCAGAATGCCCAGCTATGGGGCTTTCGAGCGAGGAGTCGATCTTTCCAACTGACAGGCGCGGGGATGTCGCGTTCGTACTGTGAAGTGAGTTTCCCATGTTCGCTGATTGACGTAAAAGGTTCGCGTTTCTTTTCGCGCGAGTCCGTCGGAAAATCCGATAGGACGTGTATACCCTGAGAGACTTTTTGTACAGTCGAGAAAAGCGCGAATCGGATGAGCGTCAGTAGCTGGAAAACTACCATCGACAAAGTCTTTCTTCATGGCTCTCTAAGGCGGGTCACGAGTTCTTTCTATGTGGCGTTAATTTAATATGCGGCGATGCAGCGAGCGTGCACGTGTCGCTCAGCTAAATATAATCGCGCGCAGAACACGTTAGCGTTGGAAGGATGTTTTGCGTGAAGCGCGCGCGCACGCAGGAGTGGCGATCGGAGATTTCGCGGCTTTCGTATATTTCAGTAAACACTGAAACGCGCGCGAAAGAGCTGACATCACCTATCCTTTTTCTATTCTTATCGACGTGTCGATACGCGCTTACTTTTATAAGACGGTTGCATCATTATGCATGAAATCAGCCTGATCAGTTCGCTATTGTACGCAACGGACGATGACGACGTCGACGTCGTTCTCGACTGCTGGGCGATCTTATAAAACGAACAGGTGCTTACTGCATTCACGAGTTTCTGCCCGGTTGACCTAAATTTTGAGTTTACTGCTGCAGTAGCCGAGGTCAACTAATGTCAACGCGATAGACGATGAGCCGCCGCCATCTCTGCGTAGGCAATGACTCTAGGCGAGAGAACGAAACCGTAGATCGACGATTGTTGTTCTACTTAATGCGTTGTATATGGCGAATTTATCTTAAACTACTGATGAAACGCGCAACGCGGAAATCGGAGTGAAACGATATGTCATGTCTCATATGTACTCACCGTATTATTTTTAGTGTTCACGGCATGATGGTTTTAACACATTGACTTACATCATTCTAGAACGTAGTGTGAATTTCTCATAGGAAGTTTTAGAATAGTATAACTTCATGTATTATAAGGCTATTGTATTCAATGACCATTGCGTGCGTGATATTGCAAGATCTAAAGTACAGTTGGCTGATTAAGCCAACACTTTTTCTCGATGAATTTCATAATGTATCTCATATCCAATAGGAGAATTTGTTCTTTAGTAATTTTAATGAAATAGGTTTTCCTGTTGGATACGGAATGCATTGCAAAACTCATCGAGAGAAAGTATTGCCATACTTGGGGCCGATTTTTCCAACCTCTTGATAAGTTAATTAAATTAATAGTTAAATTATATGTTTGTCTTTGTTTTTCCTTCAAATTAAACAAAGACAGGCGTATGATTTAACTGTTAACTTACTAAGAAGTTCGAAAAATCGGCTTTTAATCAGTCGACTGTATGTGACGTGCACTAAATAGATATTTCCTGAGGATTTCATGTCAAACATATCATGTCCAGGCACATCATATCTTGCATATCGATTATATGTGTGTGTTAATTGAAAATATGAAACTATATTTTTATTGATTTATTTATTTCTTAATTTTACGTTCAATCTTCTGACACGTGCCAAGTATTCACAGACAAATGGTCTCACTGTCAGATACAATTCTCTCTCTCTCTCTCTCTCTCTCTCTCTCTCTTTCTCCCCCCTCTTTCTCTTTCTCTCCCTCTTACAATATCCAGGTATCCAACGAATATGTGTTAGATACAATTCTAGATCGTGGTTAAATCTTTCGACTTTCGATAACCTATCAGATCGAGTGTAAACTCTCGACTTTCGATAGTCGATTAGATCGATCGATTAACTTTCGATTTTTGAGGATCAATCAGATTCAAGTATGCCGTCTCGATTAACCGATGCGATTGAGTTTCTGGTACGTGTCCAGATGGCGTGTTTGCATTCATTTAGAATGCGCGATATCTGGAAACTCGAACGTTTCCCGCTTCTCGACGATCATCATGATGCACTCAGAAATCTCCGGCGTGTATTAAAAGACTGAAATTCCGGGAAAATGTTCGCAGAGTACGATAATATCTATTCGGCGGGCGAACCAGCTCGTAAGTTTGCACCCGGTTACGATATCGTATTATTAGATATAAGAACATTGTGGTTATAATCCTGATACAGATGCGATTCGAATTTGCAATTCCCTTTAAATCGAAATTAATGTTTACTCCTAAATATTCTAAGACTCTTCAATAAATGTTTTCGTCGATTAATTATTAATGATTATGTTGTAGATGAACGCGAAGACGTGCAGAAGAAGACGTTCGCCAAATGGATAAATTCGCAGTTACTCAAAGTAAGCGATCGACCTGGTTCCATTCCATCGTTCTGCCTGTTATTTCCATTAAATTTTTCTGCCGAGTTACGGTGTAACAGTCGAAAAGTTTCGCTTTCATCGAAATTTTTCGCGCTCACGATGCAACGAGTAGCCATGCATTGCTATTTGTTATAGATTATACATTCGTTATCGAGATCTCATAACACGGTGAATGTAATAGCATCTTCCGAGAGATGCTTCTTGCGAGGAAGAACGCGAGACGGATGTTTAATCTGTTTTTTTTTTTTTAGAATCATCATGATCCGATCACTAATCTGTTTGTCGACCTGCGAGATGGCAATCGCCTGCTGTCCCTTCTGGAAGTGCTCACTTCGAAGACTTATGTAAGTACAATGAGCTTATCGTTTGTGCGCTGCATTAATCGTTTAGTTGCAACGCGCTGATCCATGATTTTGTTGGCGAGAGTTTTTTCCGCATCGGTGATACACTACCCGAGAGAGAAAGAGAAAACGTTGTTTGTTAAGTCACGATTAAGTTTCTCGTAGACGATTGTTAAAACTACTCACAGCCGTGAGCGTGATTCCCAATAAAATCGTTTTTAAAAGCATCTCACGTCAGCGCGTTCACATACCACCGTCGTAGAATCGCCGCGGAGCAGGTGCACAGGCAGTATTTGCATAAGACCGCGGCCGATTATGAATGCGCGCGGTAGACGCAAAAGAATGTTGTTCCATTCGCGAGATGTATACCGCGGCATTTGCATTACCCCACGCAGGTGTCCGCTTTCATCGTTGAAATTTATTTCGCACAATGCCAGACGCGGAATTAGACAAATCTAAGGATTATGTACTGAGAATAAGTCACGTGAACTCCGAGGAGAATCTTCCTGTTTTATTTATTTATTTTTTTAAGAGAAGGAGAAATACATGTGTTACTTTACAGAAAAGGGAACGCGGTCGAATGCGAGTGCATCATCTTAATAACGTTAACAAAGCATTGCAAATCCTCGAGCAGAATAACGTAAGTATGCAACTGCCAACATTTATGTTACATTATTTGATTTTGTATAAGCAGTTAAATATTGATTAAAACATAAAATACATAAATTGACGTTATATGTAATAATTTGATATTTGAGGCTTTCATTATGATAATTGAGGCTTTTTAATATTGATACTATATTATGTTGATGTTTTAGGTAAAACTTGTTAATATTAGTAGCAACGACATCGTCGATGGTAATCCAAAATTAACACTCGGTCTGGTATGGAGTATTATTCTACATTGGCAAGTAAGTTAGATAAATTGTTTAAATACTGAATTACGTAAACCATGATAGATTTATGTGCTTGTTTTAATGTTTCATAATACAAAGTTATATTAGATGTAGCTTTGAAAGTAATGTTTAATTTTCCAATTTTTAACCACAGACTACTATTGGCAAAAAAAATGCCGTACATAAATTAAACTGAGAGTAATATACTGAGAGTAACATATATATTTTTGCTATATCAAGTAATAATGATTATCCGTATGACAACGTTCGAATCAATCATGTGGAAACTAGTTTGTGCGATAGAATATGTTCAATTTCCAAACTTAAAGACTATTGGAGATTTCTTGAATGCAATAAATCTGAATCGAGCAAGCATGGCCTAAAAATGATTTCAGTCCAGTAATATTAAAGGAATTAACGAAGCTTTATGACAGTAGTAAGAATTAAACATATAATTAACTTATTTTATAGATATTTAACAGACAAACGATGTTTTTTCCTTATTTTTTTTTATTTCATAAGAAACAAGAATAATAGAAGTCGTGTAAATAAAACAGTATTTTTAGTTGTATTGTTAAATTAATCCTTGTCTAAACCTAATCGATGATTTGTGTTTGTCATTATTGTATTTTTTATTAATGTGTTATATTAACAGGTGCATTATCATCTAAAAGATTTGATGACAGAATTACAACAGACTAATTTAGAAAAGACACTTCTTGCTTGGTGCCGCCAAAATTCGCAGGTAATAAATTCGCACGTTTTAACAATATATAAATTAATAAAAAGATATATATATATATATATATATATATATATATGTATAAACAAAAGATTAATAGATTGTAAAATAATTTACCTGTATCGTGCTATTTTGTAGAGTTACCCTAATGTTGATATTAAAAATTTTACAACGTCTTGGTCGGATGGATTAGCATTTAACGCGATCTTACACAAGTGGAAACCTCATCTGTTTGACTTTAATAATATCGCACGTAAACATCCAAATGCCAGGTTGGACCATGCCTTTCGGCTCGCACAGGAACATCTCAATATCGAGCGTCTGTTGGATCCCGAAGGTAATTTAGTTTTAGACGCAATACATCATACGCACGTAATATTAATTACACCTTCTTCGCACGTCTTATGTATTTAGAATATATATGTTGAACTTTTCAGATGTAAATATCAGTTTTATATTAGACTTGTACTACATATATTTGAGACATATTATATATTAGATAAAATATTGCGTTGCATCTCTCTCTTTTATTCTAATTATCATTGCAAATTCATGAAAAATTGTCAATACTGCCATGTTAACCAATATTTACCTATCACGTATCTTATTTTGCAGATGTCAATACTTCAGTGCCAGATAAAAAATCCATCATGATGTATGTTATGTGTCTTTTCCAATCATTACCGCACTCCGGAGATGATATTGGTGAACTAGATCTTTCAATCGCAAGTGACAGTACCAGCCCAGTCACAACACCAGGAACAGAGGTACGTGCTTCATAGTTTAATGAATATGCAACGAATCATACGCCATATTACTATGTCGGCTCTATTAAACATCAATTTGCAGACTACTCTGTCCTTTGGCAATTTTGGAATGCCAGCTTCCCGTCCGATGAGTTTAGCTACAAATGTTTCTGTTGAGCTTGGCGGTTATCAAGTCGCCCTCGAAGACGTTCTAACATGGCTTTTGGAAGCGGAGGATAAATTGAATCATGCCCCTGAGCCGGGCTCGACTCTAGACATATTGAAACAACAATTCCACGAGCATGAAACCTTCTTGATGGAGTTATCGGGCCATCAGGACGGGGTGGGGACTGTTCTAGAGGAAGGTGCAAGGTTGTTAGCTGAGGGCGGATTGCATAAAGATGAGGAGCATGAAGTTCGCGTGCAAATGTCGTTACTGAATTCTCGATGGGAGGGACTACGAATGCGCGCCATGGAGAGACAAACCAGTATCCACGAGGTATATATACTCTACGCGCCTTCTCATGGAAATAATACATTTTTATATTTAATATTCATAACATTGATGTTTAACTTTGTATTACGCGAACTTTTGACGTTAAATTATACATTTATAAAACGACTTCATTTTTACGCATATACGTTTATATTTTCTCTCTGAAACTCTACACTTGTAATTAAATATTAATTATATTTTACCAACACATGGTCCTAACTAAAAATAATCATTTCTAGGTCCTGATGCAAATGCAACAGGCTCAGTTAGACGCGTTGCGACAATGGCTGACAAAAACGGAAGATAGGATCTCTATGATGGCGGCGGCAGAATTAAATCCGTCTGCTCTCAACGAGCAAATGAAACATCTAAGTGAATTAGAGCAAGATATTCAGGCGCAGCAAGACGTAGTCGATGGTATGAGGAACATGGTGGTAGTAGTGGATGAAGAAAATTCCGAGGCAGTTTATGCTCAAATGGAAGATCAATTGTCCGCCCTCGGTGAACGCTGGAGTCACATCTGCCAGTGGAAAGAGGAACGACGTCAGCGATTGGAATCTGTGTCTACACTTTGGCATAATGTCACCGACGATTACAAGAAGTTAGTAGCGTGGTTGAACGAAACGGAAATCACGTTAAAGCAAATGGAAGCCAATCCGGCATCCGAAATCGGTGAAGTACTAGACCGAATAAAAAGGTTGCAAGTTCTAAAGGCGGAAATGGATATTAATGAGAAAAAATTAACATCTCTACAAGAGTCAATCCAGGATTTAGATGGCCACGGTACGTCTCCGGAGTGTATGAATATTTTGGAAAAGATTGAAAACTTGCAAGATCGATGGGAAGCTGTAGGACAAATTATGGAAGTTCAAACTCAAAGGGTATATAATTTATGATTTATATAATTATAGAATTTATTGATATTAGTAAATAATATCTTGTAAAAAAAACTTGTTAAAATAATATATATTTTGCTTCTCGATGAAGTCTACAACTCACTTTTATTGCATTTTTTTGCATTAGATAACGAATTCTGGATTTGAGTTTGACTTAATGTCCGAAGATAGCACAACAACTGTTAAGGGAAATGAATGGATGTCCGAAACGGTAACGAGTATAGCATATAAAGAAGAGATTGCTGCAACAGTAAGTATATTTTGTATGTTTTTTTTTAATACTTACTTTTAGATTTAGTGTTCTTTATAACTACTCATTTTTTCAGTCAACACCACATAGTGATTCAAAAAAAAGACGAGTCGATAGTACCACTAAACATGAATTTGAATCGGCATTGCTTCATCTGTATAAATGGTTAGATTATGTCGACTTAGAAATAGGTCGTTCAGAAGGGGTATTCGATGAGTTAAGCGTGGAAGAGAAGAAAGTGGTTTACGAAGATACTCTCGCAGATATGGAATCGCACAAGAGTGAATATGACAAGGTTCTTGAAATCGGTCAACAACTTATTGAAGAATTAAAAAATGCAAATGAATCCACTGAAGAAGAAGAATCCAAAATTAAAAACATACAAAATTGTTGGGTGGCGACGAATACTCGTCTCCAAGATATAAAAAGACGTATAGATTATTTGGAAGAAGTAAAGAAATTCCGCACCGAACTAGCCAGTTTGAATTTGATGTTGGAAAGTTATACCAAGTGGTTCGATACAAATAAAGGAAATAATCAGATAGAACCATTTAGGGTAAGTTTGAAAATATCTCAGTTTTAGATATACATACATATTAAACAGATTATATATACTATAATTTTAATATTAAAATATTTTATGTAGGTAAAAATAAAATCAATGAAATCCCACGATGAGCGCATAAAAAAGATGCTAGAGAAAGCCAATGAATTATCGTTAAACCAAATTGCAAATACAGAGAGCAGTAACATTGATTCAGATATAAAAATGTTCTCCATTAATTGGGATAAACTGTATACGATGTAGGTATCGTTGCGGGTATACATGTACATTGTATATTGTATTGTTTAATAAAATGTTTAATAATATTCTTAGGTTATCGGAGCGATTAACCGAAGTAAACAACGCCATCGATAGAACACCGCCTAAGAAGTATATTGAGGCAGTTTCTAATCTAACATTGTTCATTAATAATGTGGAAAGTGTCCTATTGTCAGAGCATATAATTATATCTGATGAGAAAGTTATGGCAGAGCAAATGAATAGATTTAAAGATATACAAAATTCGTTAAAGGAACAAGAGGGAATTTTCAAATACGTTAATTCTACTGGACAAGATCTGATAACAAAAATGAACAATGATTCCTCGGCGCAACGATTTAAAGATGAATTGCAAGATCTCAATACTAAATGGAGTGATATACCTATTATTTTAGAAGAGAAACAGCAGACTCTTGTAAAAGGTAAGTAGAACGCAAATATATGCACGCAATACGCAAAATAAATTTTTTAAATTTATGATGACATAAACTTTTTTTTACTACGATTTGTCATTCATTAATCATTATTAATATAACGCAATATGATTTGTTTTAGATATTACAACTATACAAATTTTCAATAGCGAACTTTCTGCATTGGAATCTTGGTTGATGAAATCATTATCATTCCTGGAAGATTTATCTAAAGACAACGTTACAGATAATGTTGAGAGGACGGAACATAAATTAGAGCAAATTCGCTCTTTTTCTCAGGAGATGGATAAAATGAAATTGAAAATTGAAGCACTTGGAACATCAACAAATAAAATGCTCGAGAAATCTGAACCTAATTTTGTAAGTTTATTAAATAGCAAATTGGAAGCTGTGGCATATAAATGGGCCTCTCTTGTTGACGAGGCTAAAAGTCTAAGCGATAAATATGAAGGCGCTTTAAAGAAAAATGATGATGTAAGTACGAAATCTGTATAAAATAATATAAATGGCTTTCGTTATTGGCTCTTTATTGGCTCGTTATTGATTATTTATTGGCTCTGTTTCTGTTAGATTATAAATGGTATAGAAGATTTCACAAACTGGCTGTCAATCCTGGAGAAAGACATACCAGTAGAATCAAGAATAACATCTTCAGTTGAGCTTTTCCAAGTTCGCGGTCGGTATCAAGCACTGAAAGACAAAGTTGACAAACGAGTGGAAGAGTTTCGAAATCTCAACGAAATGGGAAATGATAAACTGTTAAGTTCAGAAGGATCGTCTGTGCAAGAGCTCGGCAGACGGTTCACTTTCTTGAATGCACGATGGACCGATGTTACGGATCGTATATACGAGCGTTACAGACATTTACAAAATGCTAGTCATGAATACGGAGAATTCCGAGCGTTGGTTGCACAGGAAAGCGACTGGTTGGACAAACTAGATAAAAGATTGAAGAAATCTCCTAAAACTGCTGCAGATGCAGAAGAAATCTCAGAAGAACTTGATGTGAGTGATATTTTTATTTGACAGTAATAATTTAATTTGGCAATAA